GCCTCCGACTCGAGCTTCTTCAGGTCGCTGTATCCGAAAGCTGCCTCCCGCATGGCGTCCGCCTTGTGCTCCGGCCAGCTGAAGTGCTTCAGCACCGCCCGCTCGTCCACCTGCGAAAAGACTGGATTAATGAAAACTAGATTGGAAGGATAGATTTGACCTTAGCTGAATCGGGGAAGGATTTAGATTATATACACTCTGAAGTATAATACCAGGAAGGAGAGCTCGTCATCGAGCCATTTGACGAAGGTGACCACATCTTCGATGTTGGTGAAGGCGGCGTTCTCAACTTCCCTTATGAGGAATCTTATGAAGTCGCCCTGGGTCTCCACGTCGGTCTTGATCTGCATTGGAGGAACACGCAAAGCTTTAAAGAAGTTAATGGCGAAAGAAAGCTTATCGAAAGCGTCACCATGGCACATGTCTCCGCGCCTCTGCAATAAATTCGGCTGTGGGTCATAATATCAAACATCTGCCCAACCAACTGTTCATCGCTTCAACACCCTAAGCCCCGGGGTGAAGCAGTTGATGCCACCGTAAAGTAAAGAAGGGTGGATTTACGAGGACTGGTTTGAATTTTCAAGACATTTTGGGCCTACTGCGTAGTTCAACGCGTCGTTCTATGTTGAGCAGGAGAGAGATCTGAGTGATGAGGGAGGTGGGGTCCGTCGTTTCTAACTCAAAGGAAAGGGACTTCAGAGCATCGGGGGTTGTGGGGTGGTGGTAGTGGAGAGAGAGAGAGAGAGAGAGAGAGAGAGAGAGAGAAGATAATGACAGAACTTACAGCGAGGAGGTGGGAGGATCGGTTCTCGATCTCCCCAATCATGTTCTTCGCGTTTACTGCAGTAGGGGCCTCCGACATGCCGCTGCCGGACTCCCTCTTCGAGTCCCGTCTCATCAGCGAGTGGTAGAACTCCACCACCTCCGGGACGCGGTGAACCCTGGCCCCGGACCTGAAGCCCTTCACCGGCGGCGGTGGAGGAGGCGGCGGCGGAGCGCGCACTCCGGCTCCACGGGCGGCCACCGCCGTGGGAGGCGGCGGCGGTGCTGGAGGTGCCGGAGGTGCCGGAGGTGCCGGAGGTAACAACTTCGGTTTCTGTTCCGCTGTGTTCGAGACGTCCACGGTCTCGGATGATGCGGAAGATGAACACGGAGAAGACGAAGAAGAGGACGCTAAAGAAGATGATGAACAACTAGGCGTCGGGGGGGGTTTTGGAATCCGAGGAACTCGAGACTTGGCCATTGAAATGGCCGACTCCACGATGCACTGGAGTGCCCTCTCTGTCTCCCCTTCCTCGACCTTAGGATCTGAAGTCTCAATCAGCTTGGAAGTCTCCTGGCCGCAAGCATTGTCGGGAGATTTCGAACACTTCAGCTGATTCATTTGAAGATTCGAGCTAGATGGGATGCCGATCAGACCCTGAACATCTCGCGAGGCAAAACACTCCTGAGATTTCCCCATCTCGTTGCAGACCGGCGGGTGGCTCACTTCTTCTCTCCTCTGCTTCTCCGAGAATAGCCTCCTCATCTCATCTATCTCTGCTTCCATATTCATAATTTTCTTCTCCATCTCCGTCTCCCTCGTGTCCTCCAACGAGGAGATTTCGGCGCGCAAGCTCTCAAGCTCGAACCGGAGGCTTTCGTTCTCTTCCTCCAGAGCTTCGATCCTCCGCCTGGAACGATCCAGCTCATCGTTCTTAGAGACGATTTCCTCTTCAAGGAAGGGAACAATGGCGACAGTCTCCTTGAGAATCTTCTGCTCCAGCAGCTCGGTGCGAAGACGGGATTCCCTCTCCTGCAGCTCCTCCACAAGCCGCAGAAGCTCGACATCAGGCGGCCGCGGTTGCACCTGCGCGGAGGACCGAGGGAAGTAGCCGCCAAAGGAGCGGGACAGTCCAGCCCCGCTGGACTTCTGCTGGGATCCCCCCGCCTTCTGCGAGGCCGGCGACGCAAAGCTTCTCGGCGCTTCCTGCTTCGGCGTCGATGGGCTCCTCTGGAACCCTATCGCCGCCTTCACCTTACCCGCCACCATCGCACAAACACTCCCTAAACTCGCCCTCCTCACTACAGCAGCAGGACGAGGCACAAACTCGCAGGCATCCCGACAATGCAGGAGGGGGAGAAGCAGCAGATCTCAGAGGGAGAGAGCGAGCGAGAGAGCGGAGATGGCGACCACAAAAGGGGCGAGGAGGGCGAAGGGGCGCGGACCCCGAGGAACGGTCTGCCCTCCCCCGCCTCCCCGTGGGACTAATATTGAATTCGGAATCTCGTTTCCAAACCCAAAAGGAGGGCGCTTCTGGTGCTCCGCGAGTCACCGGAACTAAACTGTAGCCACCGGGTTCAAAAGTTTGCCTGCCCGCGCGTCAGCTAGCCGTTGTCGGAGACCGCTCGCTGCACAGGTCCGCCCATTAATAACGGCGCTGGCAGAGGTCAGCGCCGCACAGGCCCCCGCCGGCTCGTGCCGCTCACGTGACCGCGGTCGGTGGCCGTAGGCGCCGATGGGGAAGGGCGGCTGCCCTTGGGGATACGGCACGTCCGATTTCCGACCCACCGGGGTGTCTTAAAAACCAGGGCAAGCGTCCCGGAAGGAAGGTCAGCCCTTCCCTTCCTATCTTCTTGCTATCTCACGCTCCCCTTGTGATCCCTCTCTCCCCTCCCCTGAGAGATAGAGATAGAGAGATAGAGAGCTCGATAGAGAGAGAGAGAGAGAGCTGGCGAGATGGAAACGGGAGTGGTCCCAGGGCGATGGGTCTCTCGCAAGGAACAGGGTTGACCGGCCACCAAGATTACGTTGTCTGAAAACAAGGATTTCGCTGGAACCGCCTCGCATGGGTTGGAGGGTACTGCCCAAGCGGGGCCGGAGCTACGTCCCCCCTCGCAGGGCGGCATTCGTAACTTCGCCTTCGTCTTACAGCGACTCTTTTCTCATCAGAACCTTCCGAGTGAGGAACAGGTAGAAGAAGAACTACACACCCCTTCTCTGAGCCCTTTACAGGCACCTGGAGGCCCTCTCTCTCTCTCTCTCTCTCTAGCTTTCTCATTTCACATACGGGCAAAGCTTTTATCAAAAGGAAATCCCATTCTCAGGTCGGAATGAACTGTGGTACCATCTTGAATAATTGGCTTATCCAACTCAAAAATAACCTGATGCAGTATTCTCCCGGTACCACTATGCGACAAGTGCCAATTACGACGCATCGCCGTCACATTGAAATAGGGAGTTTCTGATATAAAAGTCAAACACATACAATTCAGCGCACAGTTGTCCTGTTTACAAGTGAAGTCAAGGCTACCGCATCATGGTAGGAACTGCCCTCTCAAGATTCATTCAGCAAGCTTCAGGTTCTCTCGACAATAAAAGGAAGGATAGTAGTAAATGAAATAGAATTTAGATGTCTATATATATATATATATTCTTTTTCGGCTATTCATCTGCCCACCGTGGGTCTTGGTAGATCTGCGCCTCGGGGGAAAGCGCAGCATGGTACGCCATTCGTCTCCTCCTGTCATGTCGTGGCGCAAAAGGATGATCTTCCTCCGGAAGGAAGACCCCGAACAATATAACCTGCTTCTGAAGCGTCATGGAAAGGAGAGAAAGGAGCCCAAGACAACGTAGTGCTCGCAGGGCAACCACCGGTGCCCGTAAGCTTCTTTACCAAAGTAAAGGGCTCAGAGAGAGAGAGAGAGAGAGAGAGAGAGAGAGGGAGAGAGGGAGAGAGAGAGAGAGAGAGAGAGAGAGAGAGAGAGAGAGAGAGAGAGAGAGAGAGAGGGAGCGAGAGCGAGAAAGAGAGAGAGCGAGAGAGAGAGCGAGAGAGAGAGAGAGAGGGAGCGAGAGCGAGAAAGAGAGAGAGCGAGAGAGAGAGCGAGAGAGAGAGCGAGAGAGAGAGCGAGAGAGAGCGAGAGAGAGCGAGAGAGAGCGAGAGAGAGAGAGAGCGAGAGAGAGAGGGAGAGAGCGAGCGAGCGAGCGAGCGAGCGAGAGACAGACAGACAGAGAGAGCGAGAGAGAGAGAGAGAGAGAGAGAGAGAGATAGAGACAGAGGAAAAGATGATGCCCAAACTGACCCAAAATGGACACTGGGTCGGCCCGAACTGAGCCCACTTGGATTTCAGGACCATGTATAACAAAAATCGAGACGAGTTCTTGTCTATAATTCGACTCAGATACATTAGACAGGAACGGAAATCACTTAATATATAGGACTGCTTGAAGACTATTGAGTGTTGTTTTTAGGGGTCGGACTGGGGCTATTCATTTGTTCTGGTGTTCGGCGATCCAGATATCACACCGACTCATATAGTTTTCTATGATAATGAGCGATGTCGTCCGCGTCAATGGTTTCGACCAGATAAAACCTGCTGCTTTGCCATAGTTCTATATGTTCGAGTTCAGAAGGAATAAGTTTGACATAGAGAGGGATTATATTTTATTTCTCCGAGTTAGATATCTCACCCAGGTTGCAGGCGGTTCGCGCTTCCACTGGGAGCTTGCACGCAACCATCTCTCCCTCTCTGCCTGCCCGTGGAAGGGAAATCCTCTCTCTCTCTCTGTCTCTCTCTCATGCTCCCGGAGTGTTGTCTGTTTGAGAGACTTTCATAAGCCTTGCACGTTGTCGATATCTGGATTGCCGAGACCAGAAACCCTTGCTTAGTGCGGGAAGGGCCAACTTGGTTCATGTCGCACGTCAAGTAAGAGCGGACGCCATGGATGCTTAATGACTAGTTTAGTTATTTTTCTCAAGTGAGATACAGTTGGCGGCACTGCAGAGTCACCGCTGCGAGACTAGATAGATCGCAAGGCGTAGGTTCTTCCGTAGACGCCTCCCCAAAATTCTGATCTTGGTTTGTGATGTGGGAAATCCACGGAATACAACCAAGGACCGCGCAGCGTCTACGCAACAATCAAATAGGTTCCACCAATACATATAGGTTCATAGAACAAACCCGTATGATGCTGGAGAGAGAAGAACAAACAGAGAGAACGGAAACCCTGAGGTGAACTGATGCCAGGGGACATAGCCAAGAGATGGAGAGAGATCCAAGGCAGAGATCAGTGGAAAGGCCTCTTAGATCCTCTGGACATGGATCTCCGGCGCAGCATACTTTTCTACGGCGAGATGGCTCAGGCAACGTACGATGGCTTCAACAGGCAGAAGGAGTCCAGGTTTGCCGGCAGCTGCCGGTACGGCCGGCGGGATCTGTTCGACAAGGTAGGCTTGACGGCCAATAACCCATACAAGTACCAGGTGACCAAGTTCCTCTATGCAGCGTCTACCATCCCCGTCCCCGAAGCTTTCATCATCAAGTCCCTCTCCAGAGAGGCGTGGAGTAAGGAGTCCAATTGGATGGGATACGTCGCGGTGGTCACCGACGAAGCGAAGGAGTTGGTGGGTAGAAGGGACATCGTTGTAGCTTGGAGGGGAACCATCCAGGCCCTGGAATGGATCGTCGACTTCGACTCCGTCCTGGTTCCTGCGACGACGTTACTGGGTCTGCCTTCTGGTGGCAATGACGCCGTCGGACCACAGGTGCACCGGGGATGGCTGTCCATCTACACCTCCGATGATTCCCGGTCGCCCTTCAACAAGTCTAGCGCCAGAGATCAGGTGTTCATTCATTTCCTCATCTTCTTACTAGCGGGAGGGCTCTAAAGGATCTCGCTTGCGTCTTTCTTATTCCCTGAGAAGCTTCGCAGGTCCTGAGTGAAATCAGGAGGCTCATTGAGAAGTACAAGGACGAGGAGCTGAGCGTAACAATAACAGGGCACAGCTTAGGAGCTGCTATCTCCACACTAAACGCACTCGACATCGTAGTCAGCGGTGCAAACAAGCCCAGGGACCGCCCCGACAAGGGCTGCCCAGTCACAGCAGTCGTCTTCGCCTCCCCCCGCGCAGGGGACGCAAAATTCCGGTCCGTTTTCTCGTCGTTGCCAGACTTGCGGCTACTGCGAGTGCGAAACGCCAGCGACGTAGTCCCGAGCTACCCCTGGGTCGGCTACGCCGACGTCGGCGTGGAACTGGGCATCGACATCTTCAAGTCTCCATACCTGAAGCAGCCCGGCGATGTCATGACCTGGCATAACTTGGAGTGCTACCTCCATGGTGTGGCAGGGACGCAGGGGAGAAGAGGGGATTTCAAGCTGGTCATCGCCCGTGACATCGCTCTCATGAACAAGTACCTCGACATTCTGAAAGACGAATACCTCGTGCCGGCGTCGTGGTGGGTCGAGAAGAACAAGGGGATGGTACAGGGTGCCGACGGTCGGTGGCAGCTGATGGACCACGAAGAAGAACTCATGATAGAATAACGGATAAATATTGATTCCGTTCGAAGGTGGTCAGGTAGGAAATGAAAATCCTGTAGCTTGTATTTATTCTTATTATCCAACTCTAAATAATGGATTCTTCGTAGATAACTTCTCAGTCGAGGCGTGACAACATCGTTTTACGCATTATTAGTCCTGCAGATACGTCTTTCGTGTTTAATTGTTCAGCGACAAGTTTAAAGAACTGAGTAAGACGTCTCATGTTGTCATAATACTTGTTTCATCTGTCTGTACCTGCTGTCCTATAAGTAAGAACGTGATTTATGATACTGAAGAACGTGATTTCTGATACTGATGGGAATCGTTTATACAAATTGCCTTCTTTTAGCTGAGTATAATATCCGCGGTCGCCACAATTAATATTATTACGGGTCCTCTAATGCGTCATCATTATTTTGATTCAAATTTTCAGGTCATTCTCCGATTTTCAGATGAAATGCGTCGTAATTCATATAAATTAGATTGATGTCCATTGCTTCATTGTTAACAATGGATCAATATCTTGGACATCCATCAGATATTCACTGACGTCGCATGGAATAACTATGAGATTAGCGAGGTTACTCTAGTGAACAGCATACAAGTACGCCGATTAAATACAGAATAAGATGATCCCAGAGTTTCTTATTATGCCTCCTCGTCAGCCTCTGTTTCGGTTGGAAGACGTGCCGAAGGGCAGTTGCAGGGATAATGTTTGTTGTACATGAGGACTGAATCCCTCATGATTATATTTTTCATGACATGCGAGCACTACATACGGGCCTTTCTCTCGCTTATGCCTGTGTGGCGTATAGATAGGACAGACTGAAGATGAGATCAACTATCCAGTAAGGTTACCTAAGGAACGACGATATTACATTAGTTATACAGAATTGAGGCATGAGGAAATAACTCCGAGAATGACGTGAAGGCTGCGACGGGACGGCAGTGTTGTGGACGATTTCAGACTGACTAAACGTGGAGAAGGTATTCTTTGACATAGAAAGCACCATTTCCATAACATTGAGGACAAACGAATCTGAATGTATCAGATTTTTAGATCAACATCAGGATCCTTCGTGACTGTCATTGAATATCATCAACGGTCCATTTGAATACTCACGTCTTTTGTTATCATCAAAAGTAGATTACGAGAGGTTCGATGTAGGAAATTTGAATGTGCAATGCCACTCGATGAAAACCTCAAGAGCATGGCGTAGGATCTAAATGATACTTGATCCGAGTAGGCCTGCACAATGTTAAACTAACAAAAGCTGAATCAACTGCCCAGACAACTGAAACTCTTGAAGATGGCTTGTAAATATGTTAAATGAGACATGACAAACCATCTTATGTGTAAGATCATAGGCTATATAAAAGATCATTTAATCGTCAAGAATCACGACTCATAATTTGTTTCATTTTCGTAGGAAGTTTTTCCTCGTGGTGGTATACTAACCGATGTTTATGCTTAGGACTGAGCTCACCAACTCCCTTCTTTTAACGTCATTGAGTTCTTTGACGATTGCATAAAAAAAAAAAACCCGTCCGAAGTCAAAGGCTATTCTGCCACTTTCATTTTTCAATAGTTAGAAAATATGTTGCTCGAAGTATAAGGCATAGAACTGGTGATCCCAAAGCAATCTAGAGCACGGTTATAGGACATTAACTATTTAGCTAAAAAATAATATTTCGAGACACCCGAACAGGCAGCATTTGTAAGATGAGGGATGACCCTTCTAATCGCCACCATAAAAACTACATTTCTCAATAGTGCGCATAATATAATGATTTGAAACGAAAATTCTATCATGGCGTTGTGCGGACGAAAGTAGTCTCATCGATATCGGAAGTGGCAAAAGGTCTTTTATTGGAATGGTGAGCATACTTTTCTTTGCTTCATTGAATCAACTACAAATAGAAGGATCTCGCTCTCTCTCTCTCTCTCTCTCCCTCCATCCCCCATTTTTGCATTATCTTATCCATCATAAATAGTTTATCCATTCTGAGCACAACAGCCATAAACATAGACATAACAGTGTTTTTAAGCTGTCGTGGAGTTTTGCTTGAGATCAATGCCCATTCCAATTTCTTCACTGCTCTCATTCATATCAACGATGGCAACCAACGTTCTGACTCCTGGTTCCACCAACCATGTGTTAGGGATCAGGCTGTCCTCATTTCTCCCTTTTGCACTGTAGAATTCTAATGTAAAATGCTACATGAGAGTGGGCAAGGGAGAGAATGACAAAAATAGGAAACACATGGGATTTATGTGATTAGGAAAAACCTCTTGCCTTGCAGTCGTACATAGATCAAGCTTCCTTCAAGAGAATCACCTCTTACAAGTCTATGAGAGAACACACTTTTGGATGCCCTAATATACCAAGATAGTGACACCCCCTTGTGTTAACATAAGATTAAGAAAAAAAACTCCAATAGGGTCCAATAGAACCCATTAGAGCCCAATAGGGTCCTAATAAGCATTTATTATTATGAGTTAATAATGCTTAAAATATTTATTTTATGAATTAACTCATGATAAATATACACTTTTTTATGTTAAATAGAGAAAATCTTTTTTTTTGTGACTAATAGGAATTTTTAGTTAATTATGTGAATTTATATATTTTTATATTTATATTTTTTAGATAAAATAAAATAAAAATACAAAAAAGGGGGGACCTATTAGCCAAAAAAGACAGTAGCTAGCCGGGAGGGCATTGCATGTGAGTTGAAAGCTCAATTAGGGAAGCTACAAGCCAAGGGATTAAGTGGTTAAGGACCCACATAGAACATGTGTGCATCACTCCCCCTCTCACGTCATCAGGGGCTAGTCAGGCATGGGACAAGGAGTGTTCATACACACGTGTATGTTAGGGGTGGACGACCTGATTTTGTGGGGCCCTTACCCCAAAGGGGTCTTGGCCGTTATGATTTTGGGAGAGGTAACTTGAAGCAAGAACAAGGTAAACACTTACATTTGTCTTAAACATCTAAATAAAACTCCAATGCAAGACTAAAATGTGATCACTAAATGTTGGTAAAATAATACATAAAATACTCATGTAGTATAAGAAGAAAACATGGTTAGTAACTCACTATTTTAAGGGGATTTTGGTCTTTCATTAACCCTTTCTCACAAATTGAGGTGACCAATGAAGGTTCATATCCCACGAAAGCTAAAGTTGATAATTTTTATCTATTTTTAACTCATGATTTTTCTACAGAGCAACTGTCAACAATTTAGTTGTCAAAAGTGTTTGATCATCAATAAAACTTCATCAATAACAATCACAGATCATCATTACAAACCAACAATTAAATTTTAGATAAGAAGATCACAAATTTATCTAAAAAATCATCTCTAGTTAATCAACAAATATGTTGTTGTTAAGAACATAGTGAAAAAGATTTTTTGTGATTTTTTCAAGCATTCTGAATGTGATAAAGTCTCTTCTTATTGTATGTACTTAAAGATGAAGCTCCTTGAGACATGCTCTAGATCCATCTAACTCAACTCCATTAGATGATAGTTCTTGGAGACCCATCCTCACAAAACTTTTGTTCCACCAAGTGATAGTCATTAGAGACCCATCTTTGGGAAACTTCCGCTCGATTGGGTGACAATTATCAAAGACCCATATTTACAAAACTTTTGCTCTACCAAGTGACAACTGCCAGAGACTCATCATTGCTGCCTACCTTTGCCCTTTGGACTTTAAACATGAATCTAGAGAGTGCCCACATCATGCACATCCAAAGAGAGTCTTTGGGGCCATAGACATTGCATGAAAATTTTCTTGAGCACCTAAAATTCTAATGATCACCAATGCGACACTATAACTTTATTTTACTTACTTTGAACTTAATTAATTATTAAATTAATAAAATTTTGAGTGATTTCAAATTTTGAAACTCTTCTTTAGTTAATTACAATTACGAATATTCATTTGAAGTTTATAGACCTTAATTTCATCCATTAAATTATTATTAATTATTTAGTAATTATTGATAGAATACTCACTGGGTGGAACTTTGTTTCCACTCAAATTCTCATTCTTCGGGATTGACATCATCCTAATGTTAGCATCTGAATTTTCTCTTTTTTACAATTTTTTAAATAGATTTTATTTTTATCATTTACTCTAAATATCATAAAAAAGTATATTATTTGAGTTTTTTTAAAATTCACCTAATATTGTCTTACATCCTTGTGATCAACTTAAAAAATTTCTACGATTTATGGATTTTTTATCAAATTATAATTGATATACTAGTTAAGTTTTTTTTCTAAATATCTGAATATTGATATTGTCTAGTTTTATATATTTTAAAATTTACATAAATTCTTATAGAAACATTAAACCACATCAGGTCCATTAGGAGATTAATCTCCAAAACTCTAGCACATGTCTTCTCTTATGTTTGCTAACTTTTAGACTTTGTCAAGTAAACAATTTATATATGGTGTTTACACTAAAAAAATAACAATACACTCTTGCATGTCCATAAAATGGTTTATACTAAGACGATTAAAAAAAAACTCAACAAGCTCTAATAGAAACAATTATAGGCCAATAGTGTCCAATATGATATTAATCTCCAAAACTCCAACACATGTGTCTCCTCTTATATTAGTCGACTTTTAGACTTCATCAAGTAAATGGTTTATAAATGGTGTATACAATCAAAGAATAATTGACAGATCTCATAAAATGATATTATTTTGCCTTAAATAAAATTAATTTTAACTATATAAAAAATATTCTGTGTATACTTTAGAGAATATTTCTTTATTTTTTGGTTCTTTTAATCCTGTCAAAATTTGTCACACCTTGACTACTGATCCCCATGAGAGATTAGCTCTAAGGTTCTCTCTCTCTCTCTCTCTCTCTCTTTCTCTCTCACACGCACATATACACACTGTAGTTTGCCACTCATGCTTGTCATTTGGTCGTGGGGAGTTTAATGGTTTTCATGTTGAGACACACCAAGGTGGA